GGTTATCCCACTTCGACTGGTATTAAGGCTTCATCACCGTAAACTACTGAAAATGGGGTGGCCCCGGTATTAGACTTTGAGGTCATACGGTATGCCCACAAGACTTCAGGCAGGATTTCCTTCCATTTCCCTTTGGCATCGTTCAACCTCTTCTTCAGGTTTTGAAGTATGTTTTTGTTTGTTGATTCCGCCTGTCCGTTCCAACTAGGGTGGTAAGGTGTTGATAGTATTTTCTTAATCTTGTGATCCTCGAAGAACTTATTTACCTTGCTGCCAATGAACTGTTTCCCATTATCGTAGATGATTTCGGACGGTATGCCGAATCAACATATAATGTGGTCCTAGATGAAGTCAATGACCTCTTTTTCCCGGACTTTCTTGAATGCTTGAGCTTCGACCCATTTAGAAAAATAATCAGTCATGAATAGTATGAATTGAGCCTTAGAGGGTGCCCACGGCAAGGGACCGACGTGCCCGTTCCCTATTTCATAAATGGCCATAGGAAAAAGATCGAATGAAGCAGTTCTCCCGGTTGGTGGATCATCGATGCGTGTTTTTGGCAGGCGTCACATCTTCCTACAAAGTCCTTCGCATCTTTCTCCATTTAGGTCCAGTAATAGCTGACCCTAAATAATTTTTGAACCAAAGATTCTGCCCCTAAATGGTTCCTGCAAGTGCCTTCGTGAACTTCTCTCAAGGCATATTCGGTGTCTCCCGGCCCGAAGCATATGGCCAGCAGGCCATCGACTGTACTTCCGAACAAGTCCCTTCGGACAAGCTAAATTTAGCAGCCTTTGTACACAGAGCTCTCCATTCCTTGGGGTCCGAGGGCAATTTTTCGATCTTCAAGTAATCTATGTACTTGTTCCTCCAATCCCAAGTTAAACTTGTTGAGTTTACTTCGGCGTGACCTTCTTCTATCACTGATTTCATGAGTTGTACCACTGTTCCCGAGCTCAACTCATTAGCATCAACCGACGACCCTAAACTGACCGGAGCATCGGCCTCACTATTATGATCTCGGGGCACATGCTGCAGGGTCTATTTCCTGAATTGATGCAGTGTTACTTGTAATTTGTCCAAGTACCTCAGCATTTGTTCCCTTTTTACTTCGAACGTTCCATTGACTTGATTTACTACGATGAGGGAGTCAAGGCTTTTAGGTAATTCGAGACCTGCAATCATGTCCTCGTACTCGGCCTCATTGTTAGTCAATTTCATAGTTCTAATAGATCGCCTATTTACACGCCATACCGGGTCTGGACCCCTTTGAGTTTGAGGCTCAGTTCGTAAAAAAGGTCCAGATTCCGAGGGAGTTCTCGTGGTTAACAATAATTCCCTTTCGACTTCAGGTATTAAGGTCGGCATAAAGTCGGCCATGAAGTCTGCCAAATTTTGGGATTTGATAGCGGTTCGGGATCGATAATCGATATAGTACCCGCTGATTTTGACGGCCCATTTGGCCAAACGGCCCGAGAGCTTGGGTTTGTGCATGATGTTCCTTAGTGGTTAGGATGTTACGACACATATGGGGTGACATTAAAAGTACGATTTTAATTTTCTAGAGGCACTTAGCAAAGCGAGCGCCAAGTTTTCCAGGTGAGGATACCTTGCTTCGACCTCGCCTAGAGTCCCACTGACATAGGAAATAGGAAATTGCGTACCTTCTTCTTCTCGGATCAAGACTCCACTTACCACCACTTCGGAAACCGCCAAGTAAAGGTACAGTTGTTCATCCACCTTCGGGGTGCAGAGAAAGGGCGGACTCGAAAGGTACCGCTTGAGTTCTTCCTAAGCTCGTTGACATTTCTGAGTCAGGAGAAGTTATTCTTTTTCTTCAATAGCGAGAAAAATCGATGGCTTTTATCCGAGGACCTCGATATGAACCGACCCAGGGTGGATATGCACCTGGTCAGCCTCTGAACAGCCTTAACGTTGTCCATCACGGCGACGTCTTCTATGGCTTTGATTTTATCAGGATTGATCTCGATTCTCGATTAGATACCATGAACCTAAGGAATTTTCCTCATCCGACCCTAAATACGCACTCCTCTGAGTTCAACTTCATATTATAGTTCTTCAAAATGTCGAAAGTCTCCTGCAAATATTTCAAATTGTCCTCTGCTCGCAGGGACTTGACTAACATATCGTCAATATAAACTACCATTGATTTTCCTATTTGTTCTTCGAACATTCGATTTACTAGGCGTTGATAGGTGGCACCGACATTCTTTAATCCGAATGGCATTACATTATAACAATATGTGCCAAATTTAGTGATAAAAGAAGTCTTTTCCTGATCTACTAGGTCCATACGAATTTGGTTGTACCTTGAATAGGCATCGAGAAAGCTGAGTATCTCGTGCTCGGCCATCGCGTCGCTCATGCGATCGATGTTAGGCAAAGTAAAAGAGTCCTTAGGGCATGCCGTGTTCAAGTCTTTGTAGTCTACAAACATTCTTAGGTCATTTCCTTTTTTGGGCACTACCACTACGTTAGCTAGCCAGTTCGGGTATTTAACTTCCCGAATGGACCCTATTTTAAGGAGTTTAGATACTTCGTCCTTGATGAATGCATGCTTAACAACTTACGCTAGCTTTAAGAAAAAAATGAGTTTATTTCCAGAGCTGGGAGGGGGGGGGGGGGGGGCTAACCCTGTGCTCAGGTATAGCTTTCGATCCGGTAGGTGCTCGATCAATGTGACTTGCTCCAACTCTTCGATCGTCGATTTGGTGGCGTCGGTATCATCAGGAGCTATGAATGTTCTTGAAACTCTGTAATCATCTTTCTCGTCGGCTCCTCGTTCCTCCGATCTAACCGGGACCACATCGGTGATTGACATTTAATCTTGACTTTTCTGGTCAGCTTTGTGCTGTTTTACGTCGAGACGGTGGGTACCGGGAGTACTTTATCGACTGCGAACATCTCCTTCGCAACTAGTTGTTCTCCGTATACTATCTTGATCCCTCCCAGTGTAGGGAACTTTAATGCCTGGGGCAAGGTCGAAGGTATTGCCCTCATGTTGTGAACCCATGGTCTTCCGAATAGAGCGTTATATCTCATATCTCCTTCAATTACATAGAACTTTATTTCCTGGATGGCCCCGACGGTGTTTGCTAGTAGGGTTATCTCCACTTTAGTGGTTTCGCATGTCATGTTAAATCCGTTCAGCACCTAGACTGCTGGCACTATTTGTTCTTGTAACCCCAACTTCTTTACGACCCTCGATCTGATGATGTTGGCTGAGCTACCTGGATCAATCAACACACGCTTAACTTGAGATTTATTGATAAGTACAGATATTACCAGTGCATCATTATGAGGTTGTACGATGCCTTTGGCATCCTCGTCGTTGAATGAAATGGTTCCCTCTAGGATATAATCTCGGGTGCATTTCTCCCTCGTGATAGATACTTTAGTGCATAGGGATATCGACCCCTCCAGTGATCATGTTGAAGATGTGTTGAGGTTCCTTGTGCTCGGTATTTTTATTGGTGTCCCTGTTTCTGAAGTGGTTTTTGACTCGATCACTTAGGAATTTTCGTAGGTGTCTGTTACTAAACATCCGGGCAACTTCTTCTCTTGATTGTCGGCAATCTTCGATCCTATGGACATGAGTGCCGTGATACTTGCACATCAAGTTAGGGTCTCTCTGGATAGGGTCGGGCTGCAATGGTCGAGGCTGCAATGGTCGAAATATTTAAAAATTGTTTACTCAAAATATAATGAAAGAAAATTTGGGTTGGCTCCTCAAATAATAATAGATTTATTCTTTTTGGACCGAAATTTTTTTTCCTAACATATGCACATAAATACAAAATTAGTAAAATCTCTAGTTTCGGTGTGGAAGGAGTTGAAGAGCATACGTTAAGTTAACGAATTATAGTAGAAAAGTATATTTTTAACACCACAAATAAAACGTTTGTTAACGACAAACGTACTAAACAAATAATAATCCAATTGATGCTTTTCAGGGACTGAAGGGACACCAGAGGTGGTCCCTGGATAATTTTTTTAAGCTTGTGGCCTGCACGAGCTCAATGCACACGACCGTAAAAACATGGAAAAGGACATTTACCCATTCAAATAACATTTGAAAATGAAAAAAGCATTATATGACCACTGAAATCTATATTATATTAAAAGGAGAGTAGTGAAGCATGTGGTTAAGTCAAGTGGCAAGCTAAAAAGAAGTCACTTGGCAATTTTAAGACAACATTAAAAATTTGAATTATTTGAATTATAATTAATGTAAGTAGTTTAATAAATCTTATACTCAATCTAAATAAATCTTAGACAAATCTAATCTATATATACATTTAAATTTTTATTTATATGTATATTTGTAGCTATATCTCTATTTATATCTATATATTGATCCAACCATAGATTTTATTCTATGTTAGCTAGAAACATGGAGATAAAAATTAATTAAAAACTATAATAAAAAAAATATAAAAATACGCAAATTGAGATAACCTATGACTATTTATAATTTGGAGTAAGTTAAATATAAAATAAAACTAAAATTTACTTAAGATGTTAAAGATTTATTGAGTTTAAAATTAGAGAAATTCAAGCAGAAAAATACATCTATATTATATTAAAAGGAGAGTAGTGAAGCATGTTGTTAAGCCAAGTGGCAAGCTAAAATGAAGTCACTTGGCATTTTTAAGACAACATTAAAAGTATGAATTATAAATGGAATCATATTTAATAGAAGTAGTTTAAGTGAATCTTATACATAATCTAAATAGATCTTAGAAAAATCTAATTTATATATCTATATTTATATTTATATTTATATTTGTATCTATATCTATATCTATATTTATATCTATATTCATCCAATCATAGATTTTCTTCTATATTAGCTAGAAATATGGAGACAAAAATTAATTAAAAATTATATCTATATTATATTAAAAGGAGAGTAGTGAATCATGTGATTAACCAAGTGGCAAGCTAAAATAAAGCCACTTGGCAATTTTAATACAACATTAAAAATCTGAATTACAAATGAAAACATAATTAATGCAAATAGTTGAATGAAATAGATCTTAGATAAATCTAATCTATGTATTTATATCTATATCTATATCTAAAGATATGGTAGCTTTTTGTTTCTATAAATATAGTAGTTTATGTCTATACAAAACCGCCAAATATTTTTTTAATAAAGAGAATAATTTGATTGCGAATTTATAGATAAAAGTATTTGAGTTGAGATAAAAGAAAAGTTCATTTGCTGATGGAAAATAATAAAAAATAGCAAGTATTTAATATAACAGTAAATTTAAGACAAAATAGTAAAATTATTTATTTTTTTATATTTGAAAAAAATCAAAATTACAATTTGATTTAAGTTTGATAGTATTTCGAATTTATCTATACAACTTCACAATAGGCCACATGGGAATTTAGGACAAAGTTAGTTAGGTTAGGTAATAATTAGTTTTTTTATTTAAATTTTTAAAAATTTAAATTATGCATTTTTTATTGTTATTAATTAGTTACTTTCTTTGAGTTTTAAAAATTTAGATTTTTAGAAATTTATTTTAAAATTAATTAAANTCTAATAGAGTTGTACTGTCATATATAGCATGATGGAGTGCCTTTACGTGATTTCTTGCCTCTCAGTTATTATTTACTCTTATTACTCACTGAGTTGGAAGTACTCACTTTACTCCCTGCACCTTGCGTGCAGTTGCAGGTATTGTTCACCCGGTAGCGGGTTATTTAGCTGATTGAAGGTATGGCTATTGTAGCTGAGTAAGGTGACCGCCAGCGTTCGCGACACCGGATGTTGTCTTTTGATTTTCCAGAATTTTTCCTTATATATTATTATTGGCCCTGTAGTTGTGTTCAGGTTTCTTTAGATGCTCGTGACTTGTGACACCCCGGCCGGGTTGAGTTGGGTTGTAAATACCAGTTATTATGTCGTCAAGTTGTATATATCTATTCATTTATGTTTAATAATTGATAAAGGAACGAATTGGGTTAGTTGGCTGGCCTTGTCTTCACGAGAGGCGCCATCACGACCGGGTATGGAAATTGGGTCGTGACATGTGTCCTTCTTACACTCACCATTCTGATGCCCAATATTCAAGCAGCTTTGGCAGTACAAGGGTCTCCACTCATACTTAATGTTCTGCAGTTTACATTTACCTCCTGGTAGTTCAATTGATACCTCTTCCGGAAGTTCAACTGAAACATCCATTTCAACTAGAATTCGTGCGTAGGACACTCTTTCTCCTTTGGTTGTAAGCTTATCCGTGCATATTGGCTTTCCCAAACAGCTTGCAATTCGACCCAAGCTTCTTGGTGCCCAGTATTCAACAGGTAGATTTGGAAAAGTAACCCATATTGGAATGACCTGGAGAGGTTCCTTACTCATCTGAAAATCTGGTTCCCAATGCTTGAGAACCATAGGCCTGTTGTTAAATGTGAAGGGTCCATTCTGCAGTAGGGTCTCTTTATCATTATCAGACATAAATCGGAAGATGAAATACCCATCATTGTGCAGAAATACCTGAGGAGTCACGACAAAGTTCCACACCCCATACACATACTTCAACATTTCCTTGAATGTAGGGTTTCCCCCAATTACATATCCAATTAGAGCCGACTTCCATTTCTGGCATTCCTCTTCAACTTCTGCTTGGACTAATTTTACTATTTTCCTCCCATCTCTCATTATTGGGGGGAAATAGTCTAATTTCATCCCTAATTGTTGAGATCTGTTTCCTTACACAACTTCAGCCGTCGTAGGTTTTCTCATTTCCTCTGTCGTGGAGAGAGTAAGTTTCCTTGTTGCTGCTGCTGAGGACGTGCCTTCATCTTGTTCTACAGGAGTGTTGATGTTCTCTGGTGGTCTTCCTTGCAAAATCGTTGGAGCACTTCCCATTCCCGATTGGAACTATCAAATATAAGAAAAGTATCATACTTCAGTTTGAATTTTTAATTGAATAGAAAATTGAAATTCTGTTTATTTTGAGTATAGGTAAAAAAATTATGTATAAAGAGGAAAATAGAGATAGTGCGAGGATACTTATATTTTTTAAATTTATTAAAAATAAATAAATTAAATTATTAAACAATAGTCAAAAATATTGTTGACCGTAAAATATAATACAAGTGTCAAAATCAAGGGGTTGGGTTATTACAGATATAGAAAAAAAAAACAAATTATCCACTATGAGATTTGAAAAATGATTTCATGTCCTGCTTCTTAATTAATGTCAAATAATTATTTATAATTTATATATGGAAGGTTTAATTTAAGGTTATTTGCACATAATTAAATAACCAAATCATAATTTGATATATTTTATGTCCGTGCATCGTGCGGGTAATAATACTAGTGAGATGTAAAAGATCACTTCAGACCCCACTCCAGCCCTTGTTTATTCGTTTTCTTCAATTGTGTGTTCAGCAGTCAATCAATTCATTTCCACCAAAAACTTCGACAAAAATAATTAGACTTAACAGATGGCTAACATTTATCTAACAATATGGCTAATGAAAGTGATGTGGGGCTATAATTCCATAATTTTGTATATTATGTGCTTTGTATTTTACATGTTTTAATGATAAATTATATTTTATTTGTGCGTAATGAAGTCTATCTGATGTGTAGGTGAATTGGAGATGAAAGTAGAGCAAAAGGGATACATAAACGTTGAAAGTGTGCTCGAGAACAGTGAAAAGGAGAGACATGGCGAGGCCAGGCAAAGGCCAGCTTAACCAGGCGTTAGCCTGGCGACGCCAGGCCTGCGGCGTGCACATTCCGAATTTTGAAGACTTGTTTCGTCTCCTGGTTTGACTAGGACTTGGCCTACACGTTTAGGCATTTTCCTACACATATAAATAGACCTAAAAACGTCACTTTTGAGATAAATTTAGTCCTAAGGAGGCTAAGGAGACCGGAGATTCGACCTAAGGAGGCAAGTACACACTAGGAGCAAGGCAGAGAATTCTTCTACGAGTTTTTCACTTCCTTCTTCCTATTTTCATTATTGGTTATGAATTCTAGTATTGTAGTTGTCCATACTATTATGAATAACTAATTTATTATCAAGGGTTTTGATGGAACCTATTGGAGAATGATTTTCCTGTTACGTTAATATAGATTTGCGGTAACTTTTTCTCTAATTGTTCAACTACGTTTATATTGTGGTTGGTTGAAGAGCTCTCAATCGACTGTGCATATTTAGTGTGTATTACTCGGGAGAGAGTGCATATCTAGGTAGTTGTTGAACAACATCACTCCTAACGTATATGGGGGATCAATACGGAGGGTTTAAAGGTGGGATTAAGGATAACGAGACCTTGGTGCGATCCGAATGAGCTGTACTTAATGCCAGCTAGCGTAATTCGGGAGAATATGTCTAGTAAATTGTGGTAACTACTCGGAAGAGAGTTACGACAGTCAGAGTGCTCATGATTGGTAGAGAAGACTTAGGCAAATTTATAGAAAAAGTAGCGAAAAGGATTCCGACAATAGGGGAAATCATAACTCTAGACCTCCTTAATCTTGTCTCCAATCCCTATCCTTATTAATTGATAGTTTTACTGCTTTCTAGTATTTGTTAGTTAATTAGATAAAAATAAATATTATAATCTTTATAATTAGGAAATTGTTTGGACTTGTGTTTCTTAGTGATAGTCAACAACTGTAGCTGAGCCTTAGTTCTCTATGTGATTTGACTCCGGACTTGTAAATCGGATTATATTTGCAACGACCGTTTTGTCCTTTTTATAAGGCATAGTTGAGCGTGATCAGAAAGTTATAAAAAAGCTCGTAAATGAAAGCAATAATGTGTATATATATATATATATATATATATATATATATATATATATATATACACACACACACANCGTTTGTCCCGTCCCGTTTCGTCCCGCTTCGTCCCGTCCCGTCCCGCGTCCCGTCCCGTCCCGCGTCCCGTCCCGTCTCGCTTCAAGTTAAATGGGATGGGCCAATGTTAAACGGGACACGGGATGGGACGGGACGGCCATTTCGTCCCGTTTGTCCCGTCCCGTTTCGTCCCGTCCCGTCCCGTCCCGCGTCCCGCCAGATTCTCTTCATAATCCAGAGCAACCAAATATTGATTCACCAGGGTAGCATTTAAATAGTGGCAACCCGGATAATCATAAGCAGACTGTAAGCATTTCACATAAGGTCGACTGTCCCTATACAAATATCTTTTGGACATCTTGTCTAAAATGGAAGCTCAGCACTATGCACACTTGTTGAGCACACACATCACGAATTCTACTTGTGTTTGACTGAGCATCGAATAAACATTATAGCCGAACAAGTGCATGTTGTATTGTTACTACAAGCATCGAAAAATAACATTCAAGACCCATCTTTTAGCAACCAAGTTAAAAATATGGCTTATCACATGCACGGTAACATGAAAAATTGTTGGATTAAATTGGACAAGAGTCCTAGATTTTAAGCTATTTGCCGCCGCCTCGGTGTGTTATAGCAGAAGCATTATCTAAGGTGAAGTTAGATGTGTATTAACGAGCTCCATAAAAATCAAGTATTTGTAGAACAGTAGTTGCAATATAGGCTCCAGTGTGTTCTTTGAGCTCGACATCAAAATTTTATCAACCCAATGCATCACTTTTTGCAAGTTTCCAGTGATAATGCAACCCAATGCACAGTGTACACAGTTAATCACATCACAACTATTAGGACTTGACAATTCCCTATATCGCATGATCGACTACAGGACACCATTTACAATTCCGATATGTGTAAAAAATACACAACGCAGTCTAGAGAAGAACTGAATATCAGCATCAGCAACTCTCTATGAAATTCAATAAACAGTACATTCCTAAAGTGGTCTTATAGGGAACATCTTGAGAAACAGGGAAATATAAGAGTTCTTGTATATATAATGCTACAAAACCACAGGGGTTGACGATCAAGTGTGAAATAACAGTCATAAGGATGAGCCACAGGCGACCCACCATTTTGTCTTTGCTAAGTTCCAACGCATGCACTTTCTTTGTTATAATTTGCGTAAACATCATGACCAGAGAGCAGGGTGCAAGAACCGTGTGTGTTGTCAATTGATTAGAACCAGACACACTGCAGGAGATCCCAGACTATGATGTGTAGACGTGCATGACTAATACAATTGGTTCTAGGCATCTATTTTAGCTTTGTTCCATAAATCTCTTGTGCAGCACTGTTCTCTATGAGTGTTCTAGTTCAAAAAACTGCCCCGGTCCACACTTTACTGAGTGGGCAAATGTTGTGCTGTCACATTTTTACAGGATTAGCCAACGAGATGTGGCACGTTCATCATGTTAAAAAAATTTCTCATACAGTGATTGGGAGTACTTCAGGACTTGACAACTGAACGGCTCTTGACCATGACAGGGGATACAGGCAGGTGGGTAGATGCTCAGACTGAGCCATGGATGCACTCTGCAGTTGGAGCTGGGTGTTGGCGGGCAGCTGAGGTGTTTCATCTAATTCTTCTGTGCCTCATTTTTCTTCATCCTCACAAAAATCTCATTGCCAAATTGTCTTTGTAAAGTGTTATGTCCACATTGTTCTCCGACATGAACCAGTGCATAAAATGCTGGCGGAGTTTGAGAAAAATGAAGTTTCATCAACATGAGTCATTTCATCAATATGCTTCTTCTAACTATAGGGGATCTAGGAGAAGGACTAGGTGTGACGAAAGTTAGAGACTAACTATTCTCACTTTCACCTTTTGACTTACGCTATGTTTTACCTACTTTTTTATACAATCAACCAAATACATTTTAGGTGCATCATTTTAAAGACGACAACGTCAAATTAAAGAAGTCTAACAGCAAGATATTATCTCAACCCTACACAAAATGAACATACGAAATATAACACGATAAAGTAATACAAAAAATTACAGCACTAAATATGATTACTGCAAAATTAGTCATCACTTATTCGAATTAGGAGATGGAACGAGTGCACCGCTGATACATATTGAAACTTGACAGAAATTGCCCGAAATCATTGATGCTCCCAAATGACTGACCGAATGATAATTTGACAGGCTTGAAAGGTTTTACTCGCGAAAATTTGGCCAATATACTTGAAAGTGGAAAACTTGCAACAGAATATCGCGTAGCGTCCCCCAGACACTTGCCAATCACCTTGCATTGATACTATTGCATACTTGAATAGTAACAAATTGAGAGATAATGCATAGATATAGATAGAATATGTAGATGTGAAGAAGATGCTTGAGCAGAGACATTCATGATTTGTAGTTGTGGAAAGAAATCATAGAAAAAATGGTGACAAAAAACCAAAAACCGAAAACAACAGATGCTGGTGGTAATAATAGTAAGAAGATAAGGAACTCGAAATTGTGTAATGTTAATAAACTTACGGAGGAGGTGTATATTAAAAGTTTCGGGGGCCGAAGGGGGGAGGGGTGTTTTGGGGGTCGTAGAGGGCTGTTTTGGACCGTCGGGCACACGGCTATTGTTTTTGCATTTAAGCGTTGCGTTGCCCAACGGATAGTTTAAAAAAAAAAAACAAAAACTGGCGGGTCGCGGTGATACA